CATTTTCATTTTTTATTTTAAACAAAATATAAGTTAATGTTTTTAACTCTTAATTGTTAAAAAAACAATGTTTATTTTTTATATTCATGAGGTTCTATTATACCTAAATTGCTAGGGGAATTGAAAAATGGAAAACCTGGGTACTCGAAGTGGATAAAAATGGGTGGGGGGTGCAAAAAAACTCCCTGGCCCCCACCCCTGCTGGCACCCCTGTGTGTTTCTGGTGGGAGAAGGTTTGAAAGTTTTAAGTATGGTGTCAGCATAAAATAAATACCTTACATACTGTAGTATTGTGTGGGACTTCCTGGTCTGCCCAACAACATGTGAACGTCCCACACTTAGTTCTGCCCCACTTCTCTCTGGGTCACGGATGGAGGGCAGTTAAATCAGACCACTCTCGAGTGTCGTGGAGCAGTGAGTGTGTTTGGACATGAATAATGGATGAGCATTTATTCGTTAGACCTCACTGAGGCCGTCTGGACCGGAGTGTCAGCACAGCAACAACAACCATCTTTCAGCTACACTTGAAGAAACACTGAATATATCACATTTACTGACTGCATTTGTGCCATGCAAACTCTTTCACACATTCCAGACAAGAAGTGCACATGAGGAACTAAGATTGTTTTGGAGATCACTGAACCAATAGCACGTCTGTTGAGTGTAGCACTTAGGATTGTCAAAACATGATTTTCATTAGTTGCTTAGATTAGATATTGTAACTGGGCAATAAAAATGTCAACCATCAGGTGCTTCATTTAAAAACATTTTATACAATAAACATAGCAAGACTATTTTATTAGAAATGTTTAGCACTGCCAACATAACTTGGTAATAACAAAAGAAAAATACATGCATTTAAATTTCTGTGAAAGAAGATTAAAACCTGCCAGTGCATCATTATGGTCAGCATGGTAACCACACATTTATCTGTTGCGCTCTGACAGCCATGTTAATGAGGCAGACAGAGAGAGAGACTGAGAAATAAGCCTCAAATAAACAGACTTCAGATTAAAAAGAAACTTGTATTTAGAGCTTAAACCGTTAGCGTCAGAAAACAGAGGATTCTTCTGTGTTTTATGTAGGAGATGTGGTGAGTTAAAAACATTTTAACTTCAAGTTTGAAGAGAAGAATTTGAGCTAAATTATAACTGAATCTTGTTTATGTCGTCTCTGTATCCTGGGAGGATTTAAAGGGATCCATGATTAGTTGTAACATTAGACTTTATTTGATAAATATATATTTTGACATGGACAGAGCCATTTTATTTACACACAAAGCATCCTGGGTAAATGATGACATGGATAGGTCCTCGGTGTGAGCGAGCTATCTCCACCCTGAAGGTTAATCTTGGACAATATCTGATGATCGACACTTTTAAATGAAACCAGAGAGCGTTGACAGAGAGGAGAAGGTAGAAATGACTCAGCCTGTAACTGAAAATATAGATGGAGGACAACGGAGCTGCTTCATGGAAGAAGAACCTCAGCTTAGCCTGTTAGCATTTGCGCTAGCGCCAACGCTATATTGCCTTATATGTATTAGCTCGGGGCTAGCGCGACAAACAAACAAGCTAAACTGAGTTCCTCCATCCACATTTTCAGTTACAGGCTGAGTCATTTTTGTGTTCCCCTCTCTGTCATGTGGATGGAGGACCTCAGTGACGAGAGGAGAATGTGTAGCGCTGAGCTAATATTATATATGGTGATAGCATCGGGGCTAACACTAAAGCTAACAGGCTAAGCTGAGGTTCTTCTTCCATGAAGCAGCTCTGTTGTCCTCCATCCATATTTTCAGTTACAGGCTGAGTCATTTCTACCTTCTCCTCTCTGTCAACGCTCACTGGTTTCATTTAAAAGAGACGATCGTCAGATATTGTCCAAGATTAACCTTCAGGGTGGATATAGCTCGCTAGCGGCCTCGTACCGAGGACCTATCCACGTCATCATTTACCCAGAATGCTTTGTGTGTAAATAAAAATAGCTCAGTCCGTGTAATATGTTTTTTTAATTTTAGTTTAAAAAGGATAAAACTAAACATCCTGCAGTATTTTTACAGTCTTTATTTTACAGTTAAAATAAATGTTTATCAAATAAAGTCTAATGTTACTGTAATCGGGGATCATTTTAAGAGAAAACTAAAAGCCTGTCGCAGAGAGAGACAGTTTAAAGAAAATAAAATACAATTTGATTTATTATTTGTATTTGTACCAAATATAATTGCGGTAGCTTTTATGTTGATTAACCTAGTTTCTAATTTGTCATATAATCAACTGATTCTTAAAGTAATAAATTTTACTTGGTCCTGTTTGTCTTTTCTTTTATTTTCATTCTTCTTCTCTCTGTGCTTCATAGCTGCTTGTCACAGTGAAGCTCAGCTGCTGCCTTGGATTTCCCCAGGATCAAACAAATATTGATCTTCCTGTCCTCTCTCCCCGTGTGCCTGAGCTGAGCCACGTCTGGCCCATTAAGGGGCTCTTCATCCTTTTAGAAGTGGGGTGTGTGTGGCATGATCATGTCTGCTGTCAGTGTCTTACCTGCAGCAGAAAGACAGCAGTCAGATTGAGCTCAGTTTGGTCACAAATCATGTTCTTGCCATGTGTGTGTATCTGGATTCCTGGCATATAATGTAATCACACAACTGTCGCGGCAGTGGGTGTACATTTTTACACCTTATTGCATAAAAATGTTTTTTTTTTTTTTTTGAGAATTTCTTAACTGAAAAGTGTCTGTGCTGCCATTCTTGACTAGCTGATGGCTCGTCTGTTTTGTCAGACTGATACCCCAGACACATGGGAATGGTCTTTTGTTATTACACCAATGTCCTGATGCATCTCAGTAATCCAGGTAAAAAATCAAAAAGAAAAAAATTGTATAGGTCTTCTGGACGGGTTCTTCTCTAATGAAATGTTTCGTCTCTCCTCCAAGAGACTTCTTCAGTCTGAGAGTTTCAGGCAAAATTCAGGCTTTTAAGTCCTGCCTCCATGTGACTGATACTCACATCACATGGCTATCGTTGACACCTAATTAACACCTATTGTTAACAGGGGGTGGAGTGATACTGCCAATGGCAGCACTGTAGGAGGGGGACAACTGAAAACGAAGGCCTCCACCTCTGTTTAATGATGGACGGTCTTTCTTCACAAAAATGGCTTCTTTTACTCCTCTCTCAAACCAACGTTCCTCCCTATCAAGAATGAGAACATCCTCATCTCTGAAAGAGTGTCCGCTGGCCTGTAAATGAGTGAAAACTGCAGAGTTCGGGCCATTAGATGTAGCTCGTCTGTGTTGGGACATTCTTTTGAACAGTGGTTGCTTTGTTTCCCCGATGTATAACTGGTCGCAGTCCTCCTGGCACTTAACAGCATATACAACATTGCTCTGTTTGTGCCGGGGCACCGGATCTTTGGGGTGAACCAGCCTTTGCCGTAATGTGTTTTGGGGTTTGAAAGCTACTGGGACATGTTTAGAAAATAAATGTCTCAGTTTCTCCGAAACACCCGCAACATACGGAATAACCACTGGTTTGGGTCTGGGTTTGGGGTCTTCATTTTCACCTGAAGGTTAATTAGGTGTCAACAATAGCCATGTGATGTGAGTATCAGTCACATGGAGGCAGGACTCAAAAGCCTGAATTTTGCCTGAAACTCTCAAACTGAAGAAGTCTCTTGGAGGAGAGACGAAACGTTTCATTAGAGAAGAACCCGTCCAGAAGACCTATACAATTTTTTTTCCTTTTTACTACACCAATGTTTTTTTTTCACACTTGTGTCAACACAGAAACAGTATTTGTGGAGCCCAAAACTGTAATTCTTTTTTTACTAAGGCACCGGTCCCCAAAGAAAAATTGTGTTTTCAAAATTTTAAAAAATTTTGATTTAGTGTAATGATAAAGAAGTTTTGTTCTGCCTTTTTTTTAAAGTAATACATGTTTATCAGCCTTTGTCTGTTTATTGAAATAAAGCAGGATGCAAAGGTTTTACTGGAGTTGAGAAAGTTGAGAAGTTTAATCATTATTTATTTATTTATTTATTTAATTTTCTTCTTTTTTTTGTTTTTGGTTTTGTTTTTGTTATTTGAAGACTATATTGTTAAAATTTATTTTTTTGAGAAAAGGGGCAGATATAATTTTTTTTCTTCTGCTACCTTTCATTTATGATTGGTATTTTACTCTGTATACAATTTATGTTGTTTTTTATGTAAAATATGAATAAATAAACTAAACTAAAGTAGCACCTGCAACACAAACACATCCATATAATCTGTCATTATAAGGTTCGTAGGTCAGACAAGAGGTGGGACTGTGGCTTTATTGTTTTCAAAAGGTTGTGTTTAGACTGTTATGAGGTTTACAGATTTTCTCACTCTGGAAAATAGTTTTTAAAAAAGCGCCCAATACATTGCTTTTATGTGAACACAAGGCTGAAACAACAAAAATGCTGTTCCCATGTGGACAGGGTCGAAGTTCCTAAGTAAGAAAAGAGTGAATCGCAGTGCTTATATTTCTGTTTTGTGAGCTAAATCTCAGTCTTTTGTAAAAAATGAAATGAATCATAATTCTACGTCAAAACAAACTTTTGACCCTAAACATGACAGATGTACAGAAGAGGATTACAGATTTTTTTTTTCATTATAATTCCTACTTTTTTCTTAGAGTTCAGAGAAATAAACTGTGGCACTAATCCTCTTCTGTACGGATGGATTGAAAGTCACAAAAATAATAAGTTTGTGTAGTTCCTCGACTGAAATAAGACTCATATTCTGTATTTTAATAAAGACACAAGACTGACAAAGGTATAAAAATACCTTTAAATAGAGCAAAACAACACCCCCCTTAATATTACAACAAATCTAAACCCAACAAAGGGTTTTATATTAATTCATGAAACTTGCTCTGTTAGAACTAAATCAAACAAAAACTACACGTGTACGTTTAAAAACCTGGGAAATGGGAAGAGTTGTTCAAAGCCTGACACAGTTATCTGTCTTCATCTCCACAGTGACCTTCATGGAGTGCGGTGAAGGAAAAGTGTGGTTCAGAGTTGGCGATTCACCTGGTTTCAGCGTGAGCCAGGGGGGCGTGGTCTTCACCCAGCAGCGCCTAAACCTGGTGCAGAAGAAGAAAGCTCAGGTTGTGGTCTACGCTCAAGACCTGCAGTCCAAACAGCTGTGGAAGCTCAGGGTTCACCTCCACGTTCGTCCAAACAGCACCACAACACAACAGGTACGGATTTATTCACACGTCATGTGTAGGGCCAGGGTTTTAGGGTTGTAATGATATTTAGACCGGAGGGTCCGGTGCATGAGCCCACGGGTTTTAATAACTTTTTGCCAACTGCCGTGGCAAGAGAGGGAGCAGAGGAGAATACTGTTTCAAACACACAACACAAAATGCTCTGGGCAAAATAATGTTTGCCGGAGGGTTCAGAACATCCTTTGACTTATTAGTTTACGTCCAAATCTACTCTTCACCTCCACATGACTTTTTTCAAACAGGACACAACCACAAAAGCAGTTACCTTATAAAACAAGAAGACAACTTTGAACCTTTTGTATAGAAGCACCCAGAGAAGCCAGTGTCTCGTTTGGTGAGAAGTATTTGTGAGAGACATGTCAACTCCTTTGGTTTACCTGTGGACTGACCTTCAGAAATACGTAAATTTCACAGAAAATCCATCGGGGGCAGAAGGAAGGCGGAGCAAACTTAACATGGCCTTACAGCAGAGGTGCCCAAAGTGGGGCCCGCGGGCCAAAATTGGCCCGCCTAGCCATTTGATTTGGCCCACCAGCAGTTGTTCTGGTTATTAGATTGTAATTATGTTAAGATTAAATATAAAATACAAGTAACTACAAGAGACATTTAGATTAGATTTAAGCCCATATATAGATTTGCACACCTTATAAGACCACATATACTCAAATTTTAAATGATGAAAAGTCCCATGAGTCTTTGCTGTCTGAGCATACGTTGAATTTTCTCCATGTCCATGGGCTGAAAAAAATAAACTAAAGAATGTGGACAACCACATTGGCTGCTAGCTTAATCATAAAAATAAAACAACTTTACTTAAGTATTAAGCATTTTTTATATTAGTGCATTTGGCCCGCGGCCCTCAGATTGATTTTAATTTTGGCCCTCAGGGAAAATGTTTGGGCACCCCTGCCTTACAGGCTCTGAGACGAAAAATAAATGTGAAGCGGAGTTTTTTTAAATATATAAAAAAAAATTTTGTTGTTTCTTCTATACATCTGTATAGTAGGGTTGGGCAATATTGGCAAAAAAATTAATCACGATTAATTGTGGTATTTAGCAGATAACGATTAATTTGACGATTAACCCCCTGGAGTCCCTGGACACCCTCACGTCCTGGTTTCATGACCAATTCAGTGGGAAAGATTTGCTCTTCATAAAAATCTGTTCCAAATTGTGTCAAAATCACAGACTTCAGGCTGTATATCAAATTTAAAATTGTGTTGATAGAGAAATAAATTACAGATTTTTTAAATTTTCATCATATTTGAAGCAGAGAGGAGCAGCGAGCGGACTCTGCCTGGTCGCATTAATCGTATTAATCGTCAAGTGCCAAAAAGTAATCGATTCATGTTTTTCTGACGATTAATTGCACACGATACGATTATACTGTATAGATGCAAAATGGTGGAAAATCTGTAATTTACAGACAGTCTGTACAACTTTACATGTATGAGTCACCAGAATGTCTTTCAACTTTTGGTGGACTGGACTAGAAAATGAACCAGTGTCCTCCTGACCATTCAGTGCCCAGCTTGTCTCCTGTCTGAGAATCTGTGCGTTGAAGTGTTTATGAGTAGGGAGTGGGTACAAATGTGTACAGTAAAAAGGATTTTTTTATGTGTCACACACACACACACACACACACAGAGGTGACGACAGGTGGTGGTCACAGAAGACTATAATAAGGGCTTTAATTCAGGCAGTGGAATGAGGTCAGAAACACCCTGAGTCACCAGCCAGCTCTCAGCTGTGCTACTTGTTTCTGTGTGTCTGTTTGTGCATGCGGGGGCGTATGTGTGTGACCTCATGCTCACTCTACCCTGGCTTGTTTCTCTGCAGGTGAAGCCCAGTGATGCCGCGCTGACTCAGCAGGAACCAGAGATCCTGTTTCCATGGCACAGCGTGGTCGTCAGAGGCGACGGCACGCTGAGGCGGGCCAAGAGAGATTGGGTTATTCCACCAATCAATGTCCCCGAAAACTCACGAGGACAGTTCCCTGAGGATCTAGTCAGGGTGAGACCAGCACACACACACATGTTTGCATTTCTTCCTTACTAGTTCCTTACATTCATTTAATAAACCTGACCGCTTAAACTAAACTTAACCCTCAACCCAAAAATTGAGTTCTCCTATATTAGGACCAGTCTTTGGTCCCTGTAAGGACTACTGGTCTTGACAAGGTAGATGTGTATAACACTAAAATAAAGCCCAACACAGTTTTATTAGACTTTTATTCAGATGTATTCAGGAGTCCACGAGATGTTTTTTCTGACATCAGCACTTAATGCTAAAGTTTAAAGCGAAAATCTTGCCACAGTAGCGCTCTGAGGGCTTGATTTATCAACCATTAGTACGTATAAAACCATGCGCAAACCTGATGGCGCACACAAAGCTGATTTATTAACGGTGCACAGCGAGGACTGCTTCTGTCAGATGAGCAAAACAGCAGCTGCAACTCATTCAGCGTGTCCGCCTTCATGAATATGCAGATTATAAGATGATTAGCAGATCACGCACAATACTGTAATGATTTTACACCCGCAGTGTGATTTATCATACCTCGAAACTGGTTGATCCACTGTTTCAGTGTCTTAATTTAATACGTTTGAAAGTCAGGTGCAAACTGGCTGCACTGCTTCAGACACATCGTCCCCTCTGTGACTGTAAAGAGCCCACTTTAATGTAAATAAAGAAGGATGTAACTGCAGCTAAGCAGCTCAGAAGATTAACTCTAAGCTGTGGTCCATTTTTGTTTTCCACTTTTTCTCCAAATGCAGCCTGTATTACAATATTTTTTGCTTGCAATATGCTCAATTAATGTGATTTTGTTTGTTTTTTTTGTTTTGTTTCTTTGAACCTACCCACCTCTCTGCACCTGTCAGTCACCTTTGCTCACCAGCTGGACGGCAGCAGCGAGCGGTGCAACAGGAGATCTGTCCGCTGTGATGCTTGATTTGATTGGCAGATTATTAAAATCTTTTTTTAAGTTGCTGTTAAAGTATCACATTGACATTCAAGATAACTGTGCAACAAAAAAAGTTACTAAACCAAGTACAAATTCAACTAATAAAATACTTTTTTTAATTTGTCAAGGCTGAAATAATGATATAGCTCTGGAGCTGCATGTTGTCGACCTGTTTTTAAAATTCCTTGCAACTCTGAATTTTGTTGTCTGCTTTGCCTCCATCAGTGAGACACACTAAATCCTAATTTTACCAGGGCGGTCCTCACCACCACTGCACCCATATTCTTAAATCACACACAAACCGCGCCTACTTTTACCATTAACTATTTTTTCAATTTGCACAGAAATTTAATACTGTTTATTGTGATCATCATATATGTATTTTTCTCTGCTTCTCCCATGTCTGTCCTTCAGATCCGCTCTGATAGGGACAAGAACCGGGTCCTGCGTTACAGTGTGACGGGTCCCGGGGCAGATCAGCCTCCCAATGGCATCTTCATCATCAACTCCATCTCAGGCCAGCTGTCCGTCACCAAACCCCTGGACAGGGAAGACATCTCCTACTTCCACGTGAGTCTGGCTCCACCACAGCCCAGAAACCATCCAGAGATTTTATTACACGTTATAATTTTTTCTGAGAAAATTCAGTGTCAACAACTTTGCTAAAACTTGCTGAGAAACCCAAAACTGCGTTGTTGAAGCTAAAATAAGCTAAAACGCTAGCTAAATGCTAAAAAATGCTCATTGCTAGCTAAAAGACAAAAGTAGCGAAACATTACCTAAAAGCTGACTCAGCATTCACATGAATAGAGAGAAAGCCAGACGTCTGAAGCTGAAGCCACAAAGGACGAGCGCCCCCTAGAGGCTGGCTGCAGTACAGTTTTTAAGCCCCGCCCTTCCAGTTAAACTAACGGAAGATTTAACCCACAAAAAACCTCAAAATATAGTTTAGATCATTTTTAGATGTTAAGTTTTGTTAATTCACGCAGCTACAACTTTTCTGCTCTATCTTCAAATGTACTTAAAAAACTATTTCGTTTTAATGTGTTTTTGAGGCCTGTAGAACAGGGCGATGTTAGCTGTGATTGACAGTTTCACAGCCTGTTAAAGTGAACCTGGGCCCAGATTGTGTTCCACTAAGTGGAGCAAAATGACTAAAACCTGTAGACAGCAGTGGCTGTGATTAAAAAAATCAAGGTAATTTCAAGCCTTGTTATTAATTAATTTTGAGTAATCACATTTTTCCACGTATTTAACAAATAGCAATATTGAACACAACAAGTAAAGGTTTTCAATTATATTAAATTATGGCTGAATCAATGAATAAACAAACCTGAACTGAAAAAAACAAAAATGTTTTTTTAGAGATTAGTTTAAACTTAAGGTACAAATTCAATTATGTTTATATATTGTGATAATAATAAAAATAATAATGACAATTAAGAGCTCGTCTTTTAACAGGAACTAAAAAACGTGAACACAAATCCCCGGTTCTGGCTTCTCTCCATTGGCTTCCTGTTCATTTTAGGATACATTTTAAGATTTTATTGCTTACTTTTAAAGCTTTAAAAGGTCTGGTCCCATCCGACCTGTGTGATCTCATTAACTTCAGTTAGAGCACTTCGCTCATCCGACCAGTTCCTCTTAGATGTTCCTAGATCTAAAGTTTAGAGGTGATCGGGCCTTTGGAGTCTCTGCACCAAAACTCTGGAATGGTTTACCTCTTAGCATACAGACTGCTGAGACTGTTGATACTTTAAATATCTACTTAAAACTCACTTTTACTCCCTGGCCTTTCATTCTGGTAGAGTTTGAGATTCTTTTAATGATAATTTTTAAATGTTTTTCTGTATTTTAAATTGATTTTATTGTCTGCATTTATATGTTGTTCAATTGTTTTATTCATTTGGCTTAATTGCGAAGCACTTTGGCCAACTTCTTTTATTTTTATGTGCTATACAAATAAAATTGACATTGACAAGATGATAATGATAAATAACAATAAATAAACTAATTTTAGAAAGCTACAGTTCACTGCAGCTCATTTCACTGGAGGGTTTTATTGGTCAGCCGTAAATTTGCTTATTTAGGTTCTGAACCTATCATTTGGACTCGGATGTTATTGATGCTAGTTTTGCATTTATTGACTGGATTTATTTTATTTTTAATTGATTTTGGGACATTTTATATTTATTCTGAATCGTAAATGAGAATCACGATTCTTATGTGAATCAGTTTTTCGGGTGCATCCCTTATGGTAAATGACGATCAATATCAACACACACATTGTAGGAGATTGTGTTAATGTCATTTTTTCAAAGAAAAATGAAGAAAGCTCCATCATCGACTAAAACTCACTGGTGGGCGACATGCATGCCTTCAAGGAATGCTTTAATGTTACATCTTACCTTGCCACATTCACATGGATTGATTTTTTATGTGCAGAGATGAAGAAGAAATTAAAAAAATAAAATCAATAAAAGGGCACTTCCTGTTTACTCTCTATATCTAATATAGCCACGAACAGCTCGGAGAGCAGAGTGTAACCTTTTGATCTGTAGGAATGCACACCCCCAGTCACGCGGGGGAGGGAGTATCTCCAGTCACAGCAGGCTCGTTTGCATTTAAGCCGTGCGATGAATATTCATGTGCCTGGATGTAGCTGTCAGTGCTAGCAGCTGAGATTGGCCACCATGTTTATTCATGAGGGAGGCTTCGACTCTTTGAGAGCCCCATGCTGCTGCTACACACTGTAAAGGAACCACTCATCAGGCCCAATCACTGCCTATATTTAGTTTTAATCATATTATGCTAAAAAAGAGATGTCTCAGAAGCTGGCGTGTTAATCCTATTATTTTATAGATCTTTGGTTTTTAAACAACCAACAACAAACACATTGAAGACCCGAAGGCTGTAAATAAACAAGCATAAATATCTGAACTTGATACGCAACATGTTTTTTAAGCTCTTTCTTTGTACAAATAAAATAACAAAAAAATGCAAATTCTTAAAGTTGTACTGACCTTTCTTCTGCTGTGTGTGTTTGTGTTCAGTTGCGAGCCCACGCTGTGGACATGAATGGAAACCAAGTGGAGAACCCCATAGACATCGTCATCAACGTCATTGACCAGAATGATAACAGACCAGAGTTCACCCACAACGTGTTTAATGGTTCTGTTCCTGAAGGGTCCAAGCCTGGTACAGACCTGCAAACACGCACACACACACACACACAAAAACACAAACACACACACACATGTTTGTTCTTCTGTCCTCATGGGGACTTTGCACCGACTTCCATTCATTTACCGGTCATTTCTATACCCTGACTCTTTACCCTAAACTTAACCTAAACTCACCTCACAGTCGTAACCCTGACCCACCAACAGTATTTTCCCCAAAGGGGACCGGGCTTTTGTCCCAATAAGGAACTTAAGACTGTGTGTCCGGGGGAAATGGTCAAAAACCATCCTCACCAGGTACCAAAAACATACACACACACTATAATGCATTAACACGTACACAAACTTACTTCAAACGTTTTTGAGAAGCATGTCTCTACACTTCTTTTACAGAAAACCTGAGGTTGATTCTAATTTGAAATACTCTGAYTCCCTACATAACTAACACATCTGACCTGGACTGAACCTTTTSAGTGAGCTGACTCCAATTGGTCAGCTCTGACACCTCGGTCCACTCTTGGTGATCATTTGTGTACCCAAAAATGTTTCAGTTTAAACAAAAACACCATTGTTAACTTGGTTCAGCGCCATTAAAGTTCTTATTTACTGTTATTYAACCAGGAAAGTCCTGTTGAGACCTCAGACCTCTGTTTTAAGGGAGGCCTGGGCCTGAAAGGCAACCTAGTGTACATGTCTTTCTGGTGTGGGGAAACTGGAGTACCCGGAGAAAACCCACGCACAGAAAGACCCCAGGTCTGGACCGGGGATCGAACCCAGGACCTACTTGCTGTGAGGCATCAGTGCCAACCACTGAGSCGCCGTGTCGCTGTTATGTCTTGAACTTACTCACCTAACAGACGTGATACAGGAGAAATAAAGGTGCAGATGTAATGATCAGTCTCCACAGCTTAGAATTAGAGCCACTGAACAAACTGTACGCTTTTCAGATCAACCCAGAGATATTTGTTGTAAATAAGATGTGGTTTTATAAAATAAATCTGCACAGAGTGCCACATTTTAGTGCCACACAGTTCAGCCCACAGCGAGACTGATGTGTGCGTGTTTTAATCTGAGCAAAACCATAACGTGGCCCGTGCTTGCTCAACCCCTTTCACCTTTGCTCAGCTCTGCCAGGTTACTTGATTGAGTTGGCACAGGGTATGGCAGGCTGTTTGACCATTTAATCAAGTGTCTCCTGTCTCTAATTACTGTTTTTCGATTTTAAAATCTTTGCGCAATAACATTCCCACTAGTCAATATTGACATTAAAGGTATCTACAAACACATTACAAAAAAGAGATTAAATATAAGGTTGACAATTATTTTTATTAATAAAGAGCAAGCTCAAAATATCTAAAATGTTAAAGTGGTTGATTTGACATTTAATAGYCTGATTTGGTGTTTTCAGAGAGGTGAAGTGGGCTGTGAAATGCTAAACTACTAATTAACCATAGTAAATTTATACTTTGTATTTGCTCTACAATCGTGTCTTTAAATTGCACAAAGTATAATTCACAATATGTTGGAAACACTTGACGTGTCTCCCACCCCGGCACACACAACCACACCCATCCAACTGATATTTGTTCTTATGGAAGTCCCCCAGCTTAGACA